AAGATGCTTTCCTTCTTAATTCTGTGACCATAGGGGGGAAAAAACAACATCCTATTCTCAAGAGATTTTCAGTTATATATAGGTAGGTTCCACTTTAGAATGGTATATTGTATGCACAACTTGCTTGGCAGACATGAATCTGAATAAATTTGATTTATTGTCAGATAGACTTTATTATGAATGCTGTTTTCATTCATTGGCTTTGAATAGCAAAGCAAAAATGCATACTCTGCCCTTGGATAGAAGAGTTTATAAATCTATTACTTAAATTTCCAATGTTTTAAGTGGCAAATGATACATGTTTTTCAAGCAATATTCAATGCAATAAAATACCACCATTAAATGAAAAATAAAATGTGTTAATATAACATTGTGTTGATGTGAAATATATCTGTCATCTGTAGAAGGAAATATACACTATTATCTAAAACCTTTAGTTCTTTGCATGAATATCTATGTACAATGTGAAGTCAATTAAAAATCTACTGGGAAATTACAGACACAATGCTTTGACTTCCTCTAAATCTAAAACATGTGATCAGTGAGTTATTTTCCATATTCATTGAAGCATAATTTTTTAGAATAAATAATCACACTCATTTAAGCTCCTCTGTGAGTCTGAAATGAAGAAAATTCTAGAGGCAGTGCTTAAGACCACTTATGTCTGCTTTCTACATTTGAATCCCATGGAAACAGCCACACATCTGGTCCCTATGAGGAAAAAAAGAACCTAATGCCCTTTATGGCTGTGATAGAAGGGGAGACCAAATTCCAATTGGGTCAGGGTAAAGTATTGTTCCTCATTCAAAGAAGCTGAGAATATCTCTGGGGATTAATAGTAAGGTGCCCATTTTCCTCACTGGACTAGCAGGAGCATGAACAGCATCAAATTCTATAAGACTATAAACAGGACAATCTCCTTATAACCTTGGCTATCCACTAAAGGCCTGCTTTGATGCTATACATACAGAGAAGGCTTGAATGTAAGGAAACCATGCTGAACAGGTTTATAAGGAGGATAGGAGAATGTGAATGAGTCCATAGTACTCACTCTTAGTGTAAGCTAGAGAAATGACAGTTCATGAGAAAAATCAAATGAAAAAGAAATGTTCAATTACATAAGAGAAAAATTACCTCCTGCTGAGGTCAAATTCACCTGGATTAACAATTTAGAAGACAGTGCAAGGATTCCATCAGGAATTTTCAAGACCTAACGAACTGGTCTTTCTTCTGGCTTGGATAAATGTAATCTAACATAATGAAGACAATGTATCACAAAGAAATGGTTTTGACTCTAGTTGTAGTAAAAGTTGATACAATTATAGCCAAAATACTAAGTTTGTAATGAAATATTAAGCAAGTAATTCCCTAAAATATTGCAAACAATTTGAAGAAGGAACTAGGAAGGATACACTGGTAATGATAGAAAACTTGATGGACAGCAAGGCAAAGAATTCCAAAACACCACAGGTGTGTATATCAGTCACTTTAGTTGAAGGCACCTAAGAAAAGGTTGCTAAAGAAAAGGGCATCTGGTTTGCTGTGTCTAATTTCATCATCCACAGCTAGTTAACAAACAAACAAACAAATAAATAAATGGAAGGAATACAAAAGATAAAAGGGAGAAAAGAAGGGAAGAAAGAGAGGAGGAAAGGAAGAAGGAAGAAAGGAAGAAAGGAAGGAAGGAAGGAAGGAAGAAAAGGAAGAAGAGAAATACTCTATATCACCAAAGACTGGACACTGTAACTGTCATGGACTGAATAACAAATGCATGCCTGCAGCCCTTAACTTCCACTAGATTTCACAAGCCCACATATCTCTCAATGCCAAGTCTAGAGCATTTTCTCCTATGACAGAGATCCCTCTGTCCATCGATTATTAATTTAAAAATTAAGAGGCTTCCTCGGGGTGCAGAGACCCACAGCTAGACATTATGTGGAAAGTCTATATTGGAGGTTTCCACCAGGTTGCTCACCTTGGAGCTCTGGGAATCCTACACAAGAGGGGCAGGAAAGACTATAGGAATCTGAGGAAATGGAAGACACCAGGAGAACACAGTCCACTGAATCAAGTAAGCAGGACTCATAAGGGTTCACAGAGACTGAAGCGGCAACCACTGGACCTTCAGGGTTTGCACCAAGTCCTCTGTGTATATGTTATAGCTGTTAGCTTGTTGTTTTTGTGGGACTCCTAACAGTGGGGCCATGTGGCCTACTCAACTTGTTCAACCTACAAATGATATAAGGGTTTTTGCCTTGCCTTATTGTATCTTGTTTTGCTATGTTTGGCTGTTGTCTCTTGTAGGAGAGACTATACTCAATTAAAAAAACAAAAATTCAAACTCCTACGATATCTCTTATTGACCTACACTTAATCAAAGAGTCCACCTAAAACTAGGGGAGAAGAAAGAGGAAAAGATACACTGAGATGTTCCTTTGTACAATGCAATTGAGGTCAACACCCAGCATGAACAATGACCAACTATGACAGGGGAGATGTTGCTAACTAAAGAGCAAAAGTATTTTGTTGAGAAAATATTTGAAATACTATTCAGATAGGAAATCAATCAAATAATACTTTTGTGACACAAGAGATTCCAATATAAACTCCATATAAATTGAATACATTAAAATGATGAATCTTGGCTGTGGGTCTCTGCTTCTGTTTTTATCAGCTACCTGATGAAGGCTCTATGATGGCATATATGGTAGCCATCAATTTCATTATATGGGAAGGGTATTTAAGATAGCCTCTCCTCTATTGCTTATATTCTTAGTTGTGGTCACCCTATTATATCTCTGGACATTTCCCTAGTATCAGATTTCTCTCTAAACCTGTGATGGTTCCCTCTATTGTGGTATCTCTTTTCTTGCTCTCCTCTGTTCTTCTCCCAACTCAATCTTCCTGGTCTCTCATGTCTTCCTCTCCGCTCCTCTCCTCCCCTTTTCTTTCTCCTAACTCCCTGTCTCCTCTGACCATGCTCCCAATTTGCTCTGGAGATCTTGCCCCTTTCTCCTTCTCCAGGGGGCCCCCAGCATGTGGGTGCCAGTTAGACAGCCTGGGCAGTCTATGGGGCCCCTGGTAATGGAACAGCATTCATGCCTAATGTACAAATGGACACTGGGAGCTCATTCCCTATAGAGGGATACTCTATCAGCCTAGAAACACTGGGGGAGGGCCTAGGCCTTGCCCCAAATGATGTGACAGACTTTGATGATCCCCTATAGAAGGCCTCACCATTGCTATAGAGCAGAAAGAGGATGGGATGGGGGGGGTCAGTGAGGGACATGGGAGAATGGAAGGGAAAGGGAACTGGGACTGATATATAAAATAAGATTGTTTCTAATTTAAATTTTAAAAATAAAGAAAATGACAAGTGGCAGCCTTATGAACTCAGAAAGAGAAAAGCTATTTGTAAGCCCCTTGAGGTATGCTAGTTAATAATTTTAAGGTCCCAGCCCAGTCCCTTGGGGTGCATGAGTTATGAGGGCCTGTGTGCCCCTGCAGACTATGCTAATGGACACAATAGTAGATTCCAGCTCCTTAGCATGCAGCCTTCCAAGCTCTGGCTACAGAAACAAAGCCCAAGATCAAGTGACGAAATCCCACCAATCTTTGAGCTTGCCCCAAAATCAATCCACAAACTCCAACCAATCCCAGGCCATCCTAGGGCAGAGCCCCCAAAAGAGCCCTAAACTATAAAGCCTGCCTCCTAATCAGATCTTTGCTGCTTCTCCCTGGAGCAGAGGTGGCTTTCCTCTTATGTCTTTTTCAATAAATCCCTGGTGTGAGGTTTGTTGTACAGTGTGACTTTGTGGTATTCCTTGGTTCTTCACTGCCAGGACACCTGTGCCCTCAAAACTGCAACACTTGCACTGGGGAAACATTTCCCCTCAGAGCTATAACACACCACTCTATGCTGAAAAAGCCACAAGTAGATAAGGAAACAAAACTAACTCTACTATAACTGACAATATGTGTGTGAGTGTGTGTGTGTGTGTGTGTGTACATATACATAACTATAAAAATAAAGTCAACTACAAGGAACTGAAAAAGAATACTGGAAATATAAAATCTGAACAAGATCTATTATAAGAACATATATTGAGACGAGGGCAGTCTATGCAACCTCTAGAATTGGAACCAGTATTTATCCCTAGTGCACTGACTTTGGGAGCCTATTCCCTAGAGAAGGATACTCTTTCAGCCTAGAAATATGGGGGAGTGTGTAGGTCCTGCCCCCAAATGATGTGACAGCCTTTGATGAACCCCCATGAGATGATGCCTCACCCTCCCTGGGGAGTGAATGGGGGATGAGATGAGTGGTTGGTGGGTAGATGGGAGGGAAAGGGAACTGGAATATGTATGTAAAATAAGATTGGTTTTAATTTAAATACAAAAATAAATCCACAAAAAGAATTCCTATTTAAATTAATAGCCACTCATAATAATAATAACATCATTTTAAAAAGAATAAAACATGCATCAGGTAAATAGTAAGTAAAGTGTAAACAGTAATAAGATCATGCTAATCAACTTGTAGCGTTAACTGGGCCAAAACTCTATGACTATCTAGGGCACAGACAGTAAGGAAGAACCTAGTCTACTGTTCTGCTAAATGGACGTGGTACATTTTTCTACACATATAGGTTGATAGCCAAAACTAGATGTATATGAACATATTGATAACAGCCAAAACAAGATGTAAACACACATGTATTTCAGCATGCTTAAATTAAAAATGGTAGGCATGATGCATATATTGGCAACAGACTTTAAGATTAAGAAAAGTATCTTGTCTTCTTGGCTATAAGGGATGAGCTCCAGTCACTGATACTGGGAGATTTAGACACCCTTTTTGGGAAGTGGCAAACGGAAAATGAGTTTGGACAAATGTAGTGTTTCTAAACTTATTTCTACAGACATGAGGGGATGATTGAGGCTCCCCAGGTTTGATATTGTCATAAGTAGCAAGAATAATTATAAAGTCAGGATCATACCCCTGAGGAGTTCTGATGACAGCATAGCCTGAACTTGGTGGAATTTCACCATTCAGAATTTTGAATGTTGTGCTCTTCCCAGCGCCGTTTACTCCGAGGAGCCCAAAGCACTAAGAATAAAATATGAAGTTAGACACAAAGTATGAAGTACAGTCAATATTATATTAGAAATGTCATTTGCTTTGATGGTATGCAGATATTTCTGATGTGTGATGTTGTTGTAGTGTGGAACTATGCTTTGAATGATTTTGTGGGAATTGTGCATGAAAATGTCAACACCAATTTAAAAAAAGATAAATTTGAGTACATAAAACAATAGAATGAGTAGTAAGTAACACTAATCCAAATTATCCGGAGATAATAATGATAACATCTTTATAAGTTATGTCACTGCAACATTTGCTTTCCTCCTGGTTTCATTTTTGTGTCTTTTCTAAATCTATTCTATTTTCCTATTTTCCACTCTGATTCTCTCTCTCTCTCTCTCTCTCTCTCTCTCTCTCTCTCTCTCTCTCTGTTTCTCTCTCCCCCTCTCTCTCTTCTCTTCTCTTTGGATTAAAATAGCCATGGATAGATGGTAAGGAAACTGATATTGATTTAAATTTAATTCAAAATTCAATAATGTTAAGCAAAAAATTAATAGAAAATAGCTAGGAAATAATTCTTAATATTTTTTCCAATTGTCCTAGAAATCATGGTTCCAATCTAGGTCACCCCTATATTGCTTTAAGTGGGTCTCTAGGCTTTTATGTACTCCAGGGTACTCATGTCCGGATTATCTGTTCAGCAGGAGGCACAGCTAACAATTAGATAGCCATATAACCACTGGGTTTCTCCAGAGCCTGTACCACAAGCATGCAAGGTGCCTCTTTATTTCTAGCAGCTAATTAAAGGTAATCATTTCTAGGATTGATTTCCCTTCATGTATTGAGTTCAAATAAGAGTCAGTTTATACAACTTCTGCCAGTTTTGATTAAAAGTTTCTCCACAGTGTTGTGCTATATACATTTTTCAACCCTCTAGAATAGTAAGCGTCTAGATCAGTGGTACTCAACCTGTGGGTCTTGACTCCTTTTAGGGTTGTGTATCACACATCCTGCATACAAGATATTGACAATACAATTAATAACAGTTACCAAGTAGCAACACAATAATTTCATGGTTGGGGGTCACCACAATATGAAGAACTCCATTAAAGGGTTGCAGCATTTGGAAGGTTGAGAACCACTGTCCTAGATGGACTTAGCTGGGTACTCAAGGAAAATTGCAGGCAAAATAAGTGGAAGAAGTTTACTTCTTTAACTGGATCTTTAAAAATGTTTGTACTCAATAAAAAGTAATTCCAAAAGTCAAACCACACTTAAAACCACCAAGCTACACAAAATTTAAAGAATCATGAAACAAACTAAATTTTGAATCAATCTGCAAATTTCAAGTATGCTCTGACCCTGTCTCCAGCTTTGTCTCTGTGACTTTGTGGGAATCTCTGGAATGTGGAGGTTGTTTCCTGCTGTGATATCAGATATTCTAAGACTACCCCAAAGAGAACTACAACTAGAGTTCACAGGTTCACAAGAGAAAGGGGTAAAATCCGCAGCTGTTACCTCGCCTCGTGGTATGCCCAGACTAATGCCTTTCACAGCAGTGGTCTTCCACCTGAAAACACTTCTGTAACTTTTACTGAGGTTGCCCAACACAAGGATGTCCCCTCCAGTCCTTCCTTCCAGAACCCTCCTTTGTTCCTTTTCAACATCTATGTCCTGGGCAGACTTGGCTGTGTCCTGAGGAGCAGAGTGGACCCTAGGAAGAAAAAGACAGAGTTAATTTCCAGCTGAGACAGTCCTGAAATGGTCCCAAAAGGACACCTGTGGAGACACAGGGGAAAGCACTCAGAACTTCTGCTGTCAGGGCATCCTACCCCTATCGTTCCAATTACCAGAAAAAAAATCAAATTCCTTTCCCCCAACCAAAAGATATATACCTGTTACCAGAAGAACCTATGAGACAACAACACTAGAGTAGATTTTAATTTGGGCCTCATAATAATTTTGAAAAATATTTATCATATTATTATAAAATATTAACCTATATAAGTATTTTGGTAGCAAACAATTCATTTGTTAAATATTTAGCAAAATAGGTCATGTATACACCTTATATATAAAAGCACACAATATTAAACACATAGTATAAGTTGGATTGCATAAAAGGGTTACACATCTTTCTGCACATCTTGCACATAGAATTTCAACAGATATTTGCAGATGAACACAGCTCTAATCATTGAATCTAACTAGTTCACTCTGAATGTGGGCTGCTAGATCCTCACTGGGATTGCCATCTGAATATTTTTAACTTTCAAGTAAATTTTCATTTCTCTGGCAAACTATAGTGTGTCTGCCTTTTAGTGATTAGGTATAAACCAGTCATAGTATCCATATCATACTTGTTTTCCTTGTTTTCAGTGTGTTATGTTGTTATATAGCATATAATCAGCTATTCATAGAGAGGGGCATTTTTACAACTTTTTTTTTAATAGTTCTCAATTATTTCAAAACAAAAGAGTACTATAGCTAAGAGAAAATATCCATTGTCAGTCCTGAGGACTCATCCTAAAGACTTGCTCAGTGTTATTTTTCCACATCTGAAATCAACGTTTTACAAAAGTATGATTCATTACTCATATAGTAGAGATGGGAAAAGGTGGTTAGATCCTCAAAATGGCCTGATGTCACCAGCATAATACTTGAAGACATATAGAATGAATCAAATGAGATAAAAATGAGAGTGGCAGCTGTCCAGAGGGTAATTCCTCAGGAGTAGATAATGTGGTAGGCACACACACACACACACACACACACACACACACACACAAAACAACACTGAAAGTGTTAAACTTAACAATCTTAACAATCAAAAAGGGACTGGATGAATTAACTCATTTTATAAAACCCCATCAACTTAAACCTTTCTGCTTGACTAGTATTTATCTTTATTAGATGAGGACACCATCAATCCTTCATCCTCTGCTGCTGTCTCAGAGAACTGCATCCAAGATTCCCATTCATTCCTTGAGAGAACCACCTGGAAATTTTTTATGTATGTCTGTTGATCACATCCCCTAAACTAAGCAACTGAGGGCTTGAAGGAGGGACCAGGTAGCAAATTCTTTAACTCTTCTTCTCAATCCGATGGGTGTAGGACAAGCAAAAACTTGTTGGTTAATATCCAAAGAAACTAACTTCCAAATTCTTCCACCACCAAATTCTTCCTCCAATCACAGTGCAACAGAAAGATCCAGGTGGTCAGTAGACACAGCACATGTGTCCTGATAACTCACCACAGCTGGTATCTGGACCATATGGCAGTCCTACCTCTGCTTACTTAACAATTAAGGGAGCACAGTCAAGCTCCAGATTGTAACAAAATGAGGCAAGACTTCCTACACATATACCTCTAAGGGCTGTTATCAGGCCTTGGCTGTGTGCAAGTGGACCTGCCATCCTAGGGCAGCAGAGGTGTGCAGATGGAATCTGATGCAGCTTAAAAGACAGCAGTGAAGTGGGTTTCAAACTAGTGCCCAGAAAGTTCTAGTAAATGCAGTGCCTGTGGAAAAGGGTAGGCTCAAAATGGTTCCAATGAGGGGACAGGCTCTTCCCATTCTTCTCAACTTTTAGATAAAACTGGTATAACTTTCCCTAAGGAGGCCTTGCTGAGAAATTTGTTTATTCATATTCAGCACTGATTAGCTACTGGGCTCTATTTGGATTTAAATAACAAATCGGAGCTCACAATCATTGTGACCCTGAGTCATAAAGAAAAAGAAGAGAAGGCAATGCCTCAGATCATTGCCCTTCCCATCAACATAGCACAAATGAATATTTGCTGTGGATATCAAAGACATTGTTCTAAAGTAGAACATACTAATATCCTCTATGATGTAAAGGTAACAATGAAAGGTCTTTTCATTGAAGAAAATTCCTTTGATACTATAGCAAGATTGAGAAACCTGGAATCTGCCAGAGAGATTCTCTAGTGTGGGTTTTAAACAGACTGAAGTATTAAGGATTATCACAGAAGCAATTACACTTAAAAGGTGTTCAGAATTATACTCCAGAGTCATTCAGCTATGGGAAATCAGCAAACTCCAGAATAATTGTGCCCAAATTCAGAAGAGTTTGGAGATTTGTATGCAAAATGGTTCTCTACTTTAGCAGGCTTGGGTATTATATAAAGAAATACATCGGTAAAATGAATGAAAAGAAAACAATACATGTAAAAGGACTGCCAAAAAAATATTAGCAATGGAGCTTTATAATCCATAACAGATTCCTTATTGACAAGGTGGTAACAGATCTTCCATAAAGAATCCCCACTTTGAGAGAATGTCTCAGAAAAAACAAGAAGATAAGCTTTGAGGGGTAGGGATGGGGAGAATCGCTGTCTGAAGTGGGAATCAGAGGACCAAAAACAGAGAGAGGCTCGGTATATTAAGTGGTGGAGGGGAAAGCAACCGCAGAGAGGCAGAGGCCCTTCACATGAAACACACTTCCTTGTAGATTTCAAAAGTTTTTTGAAATATTTATTTTATGTGCATGAGTGTTTTTCATGCATGTATATCTGTGCATTATGTATGTGCTTGGTGCCCTTGGAGGCTAGAAGAGGGTATCAGACCCCCCCCCCCAGAACTAGAGCTACAGATGATTGTGACATACCATGTGGGGAGTGGGAATTGAACTGAGGTCTGTTGGAAAAACAGAAATGCTCTTAATCATTGAGCCTTATCTGACAAAGTTTTAGAATCTTTGCAAAACTTCCTTAAGTGTGTGTGTGTGTGTGTGTGTGTGTGTGTGTGTGTGTGTGTGTAAGTCATGTTGTTTCTGAACTAAAGTCCTACACCTTCCTGACTCTAGAAATTAATGGCATTTGGTTATAAAAGTGAAACACTTTATGGTATCGACCAAATTCACTTTCAGTGTTACCAAGTATCAGAAAAATTGAGCAATTTCAAACTGGAAAATAAATTGAGATAACCAGATAATTGAAAGGATTATTTTAAAGGTTGGAACCTCATGTTTGGAAATTCTTTCCATTTAGTTGGTAATTCATATTTACCCACTAAAAAAAGAAACATAAATCCTTATTAGAACTATTCATAATAATGCCAACAAGACACATTACTTCACCTTGCAAGCCCCAGATGGACTTCTCCTCACTCTTTATTCAAGTCATAGGTATTAAGCACGAGCCCTTCAGGACATACCTTGACCACCGTTGAAGGTCTCCATGGACCATGATCCTCAAGAGGAGAAGAACTGTGCCCTGCAAGGTCAACTCAACGAAGATCCAGCCCAAGAAATTCATCTCAAAGGGGCTCACATAAGAATCAATGCCAAAGTTGTGAGTCAGGTCATACTTGATCTGATTGTAACAGAGTTCTATGAGCCCTTGACCCAGGCAGAATTGAGGAAAAATTGTAAAAACCCACTTGAGGACATTGTAGATTTTCTGCAAATTCTGCACAGTAAAAGGGAAGGAAGATAAAAATTAAAAGTTATTCTCTTTTTTAAACCATACACTAATAACTTCCTGCTGTCACTACTTGGGGCTGTTTGTCCAATCTGTGCTAATCCCTTTACTCAGAAATGTTCTCAAACAGTCATGGAGCCAGATAGGGTTACTCCTGAGATTCTGTACTGTATGTCTTGCTAGGTTTTGCTTGATGGGATCTATAGTCCCCCCTCCTTCTTCTCCCCAATCGTCCCACACCCCCCCACTTTTCAGTTTTCTTTTTTCTTTTTTTTTTTTATACTGGGAATGTGTGTTCTATGCCTGCCTCATACATATGAATGTTCTGGCTCATAGTGGGAGAGAAGTTGGGATAAAATATGTTTTTGAGTCTCACCCACATTTGAATCTGGTGAAGTATATAGAGTAGATGGTAAGTTTTTATGTTTTTAATTGGGGTCATTATAAATGAGCTATTTTGGAGTTACTGTGACAGAATGAGTTTGTTATGCGTACCTGAGAAAGCCATAAGTCTTGGGAACCCAAGGGCAGAATGTTATGGATGGAATACCTATACCACTCCTAAGATACATGTGTTGAATTTTTATCCCCAATTTGGTATCTTAGAAAGTTTGGCCCTTTGAAGGTAATTTTGAGTAGATGAAGACAATGGGAGGAATTTCTACAATACAATCAGTGTCCTTGTAGGAAGAGAATGAGCCACTAGCTGCCTCTCCCACTTTGCACTATGTGAATACAATAAATGGCAACTGCCTGCACGTCCATAAGAGGACTCTCAGGAAAAACTACATCTAAGGTCACATTGATCTATGCCTGTGTCAATTCGGTAACTGCCTGAAAGAATTTCTGGTATCAGTGATAGTCTGGGAAAGGCAGCTTTGAACTTGGGAACTGATAATTAATAACAGGGTATAGTTACATCAATGCTTTTAGAACTCATTTTTTTAAAACCCATGGTGACTTTACACAAGTGTTAACAAAGCCTATGTAATATGTGAATTCAGAATTAATTAAAAAGCACAGAGATTCATGGACTGACAAATCAATTGTTTGATCTGGGAATAGTAGCAATTGATGCATATTAATATATAAAGAAAAAACTGTGACCTTTAACCTGCTAACATTTTTTTGATTGCAGTGGAGATCTTCATCTGTGTGAGAGAAAGACATGTCTGGCCTTATCTAACATCACAAGACACATCATTCTTTAACGGTATTTTGGCAACAAGGAAAAGAATTGCATTGACACTACAGTCTACATATCCAATGGTTAATATGGTTGTTCTGGCCATGACCTGAGAGCACAGTTGGCGTTCTTGATACCTTTCACTAATTTTACATGTGCATAATGGTTTTTAACATGAAAATGGACATTTGGTAATGATTACAATGAGTATTTTAATAATGTTAAATGACTTCAGAAAACAGCATCACAATAAAGAACAAACGGAAGAGAAAGATCAAAGCAAATCCAGTCAAATGCCCTCTATTTCTAACTGCTGAGTGACTTGGACTCTTCTTCCAGGAATCACCCATTGCCTGTTGGTTCTTTCATGTAGGCAGTGCTGTCTCTAAGTGCAAATAATAATGCCTTTTTGTGAACTGTGCTGTTAGAGCCTAGGGAGTGAAATCATTCTGGGCTAGCCTTCTCTTTAGTCCTAAATGATTCACCATCCTTTCCATTGAGAGTTAGCTTACCCCACTTCTGTTATCTAGTTCTCTTCCAGAGCTGCCCTGACTTGGGTTCCTCTCCCTTGTATCTGTATTGGGTCTGGTTTCCTTCACACCACAGTTTGTAGCATCTTCAACCACCCATGTCACTTTAGAAACCAATGGGGTGGAGTGGGCCTCTTACCCTCTATTGCTGACTTACATTCTCAAGTTAAAGCCAAGTAATTGTTCAGCAAGCTATTTAAAGGCTCAGAATATTAATACAAAGTAATGTCAAACTCAGTCTATAAAAGAAAACAAAAATTCACTGAAATGGATCATTGCCCTCATTGAATGCAAAATGGATATTACAATATTTACATACTCCACTGCTTCAACACAAACATGAGGCACAATAATAAGAGATGGTGTTGGCCATCATTCAAGAGTATATAAAGTCTGGAATCCAGCCACAAGGAATGGACCCTTCCCTATGGGGACAGGCCTCAATCCCTTTCTTGCTAGAAATGGAAATACCAGCTTCTCCTTCCACTAGTGGCACTGTACCTCTCCCAGATGATTTTTACAGATTGTGGCTCATTACACCTAGGAACTACTGAGCCAGCAGAGAGTATGAGACCAGCAAAATGACTTAAGAGCATAAGGTACTCAAAGGTGAGAATAAAAAGAAGAAAAAGATAGGGCTGAAATATGAGAGGTAAGGAAAGGGCAGAGTTTCCACAAGTCACACCACTCATGATGGCTTCAAGCAAAAGCCAAGAGTGAGGACAGACTCATTAGGGAGACCGGGTAGAGGGAAAATGGAGAGAAAGAATGGGATATATCTACAGAAGGAATTTCAGCTCACCTCTAATTCCTGCTAGGCATTCCCCTCACAGGAAAAACAACTCCCTCCCTCATGAACACCCCATGCCCATGGCAGTGTTTTTCTCTAACATTTGGAAAGACACAGTGCTAAATTACATGAATCTTTGACTCCATTCTTCAGGCACGATTTCATGTGAGTATGGACAGGACTGTATTCCATTCTACTTAAGGTTTCAAATCAGGATACTGTGACACTTTGGCATACTTTATTGTTTTCATTCCTCTACCACCAATAAGTCAACATCTGAGAATCCATGAGAAGAGTGTGGTAACAGAACAGTGAGTATCTATGTGGCCCTTCCCTTGCTTATGGGGCAGCTCTCATAACAGAAGTTTAGCAATCAATCACTCCTTCTGAGGTTAAAAGAAAAGGCCACTCATAAGTTCCCCTGAATTCCACTAGTACATGCAACTCCATTGATGGAAACTTGTTAGGTTTGACTCTGGAATATCCCTCAGGAGGTTGGCATGCTGAACACTTGGCTCCCAAATGGTGGCACTATTTTGAAAGATTCTGTAAACTTGAGCATGAAGATTCTGGTTGGAGAGACTAAATCATTGGAAGCAGAACTCTGAAGGGGGTACCTAGTCCCCAGGCTCTTCCTTGCACTCCAGGAGATGAATAGTCTCCTCCCACAAATGTTCTTGCCAGGCCCTCAATTGAAAGTGAAAGCCCTCTTAAACTGTGAGCCAAAATAAATCCTCCCATTTTGCCATAGTGGTAACAAAGTACGTAGTGGACATCCCCATTTTCCCAGCTCTGGCACTCTGGAGATGGGCCACTGCCAATGACTCACCTGGGCTTTGGAAATGATGGCCAAGAGCCTGGGCATGGTGGTCATCAGCATGGTGCACAAGCCAAAGATGAAGTTCAAGGAGATGTAGGAGATGAAAGCAACGTCTGAACTGGAAAAAATTCTGGATATCAGATACATCCATGGAATCATTGCATATCTGAAAAAGGAGGAGAGAATTCACATTTATAGTCCTAAAATGTTTATTTGTTATCACAACTGAAGTAAAGTACAAATGCAATGTTATTACAATGGTTGAGTTTTCCTCACTTTGTATAATATATGTAATAGTCATCTATTATTACACTTTCTGGGGCCTCCAAAGACCTTACAAGACAAAGGAAAATGTCATGGGGTCTAGGCTTTCCACTGAAGTTTACTACTATCACTTCTCATGTCTACCCGTCAGAGTTCCCTTGCCTTCCAAGCCGATTGCAACAACAATGCCCCCTGGTAATAGTGGCAATAGCGAGAATTGGAAGATTCCAAGATTATAATAATATTCAGAGCTTTCTGTCACAAAGAATGGTGACAAATTATTTTTTACATATAATAAACTATTTGACCGACAGCTCAGACATCTTATTGGCCAGCTCTATCTGAATTATGAGCTCTTATCTATTAATCTATGTATTTTGACATGGTCTTGAACTTACTGGTGATGGCCAGTCCCCCATTTTCGTCAGCAGCTACATGGCATCTCTCCAGTGGCTCCTCTCTGCCTTCCTCTCTTCAAAATTCTCCTAGTCTGGTAGCCCAGCCTATACTACCTGTCTAGCTACTGGCCAATCAGTATTTATTCATCAACCAATAAGAGAAACATATATTCACAGCATACAAAACCTCCCCCACAGTGATAAATTCTTATACTTGAGAAAATGTATGGAATACGATGTACAAAGCCATATAGTATCTCAGAAAATTCACTCACTAGCAGTGTGCCTCAGAATTTGACCCTGCAGAACATACGTTGGAGACAAGTGCTTCAAAGCAATTGATCTAAAATATTTGCTGTATAAAATAATTAAGTAAAACTCAAAATAACTGCCAAAAAGGTGAGCATCATTGGCTAATCATGACTATTCCTGTTGTAAGTAAAGTACTAACAGGAAGAGTGAACTCCTACATCTAACTCTATATATACTTCCTACTGACCTTTCTAGGGAAAAACTCAACTGTCATCCTTTGTCACGTGATTGCTTTAAGCAACTGGGAACAAGGCATAATAAGGTGACTCACACCTGTAATTCCAGAACTCAGGCTTTAATGCATGGAGACAGAAAGCTCCCGGGCAGCCAAGTCTACATAGAAGATAAAACCAAGGAAAAGAACCAAAAAAAAAAAAAAAACCAAACCAAACCAAAACAGGAGGAGGAAACAAATTATTCCTACAACTGGAATACATATAAACAATAGTCGAACCATGTGTGTCAAATTTTAGGGCTGTTTTAATTTCTATCAAGTTCATTATTATAACAAGCATATATATATATATATATATATATATATATATATATCTTGAAACTATGGCTTCAAAAACAACATTATGGAACAATATAACATAAACTTTTTATTTTATATAGGGAGATAATAAAGAAACAGGGATGACCATCCTGGTATACTTAAACCAGAACTACAAAAGAGCCAGCCTTTCTTTGTTCCTTCTACAATATGGCATCCAGCCATCTCTCTCTGTTAAACTTGAAAATGTAGGAGCTAGAGGAATTGGGGTGTGGGGGCAGCACCTCACAGAATATCTGATGCAGTCAGTTGGTATAGCACAAAACACAGCCAGATGATCATTGGCTTTGATCGGCATCTCCATGGTCACAGGGTGGCCCTCTCAATGCCTCCCTACACCCCTTGTCACTCTGGATACCCTGAACTATCCTTCGGGAAGTAATTACCACCTAATTGCTGGCCTCCAATCCACTGGAGATTGCATACACTCTGTACTTTGCCACTCTTCACATGGGGTCTTCATACTGAGCTCTGTCCTTCAAGTATTTGACAAGTGGATCAAAGCATTAGTCTAGAAAAAAAGACTCTGAGACAAAGACAGCCTTAAATGACACCCCTGGAGACTTCCCTTCCTGCATTAATGAGTTTATGAGCTGATTTTCCACCAACAATGATTCCATGATTTTTTATACATTTTTATTTCCTTTCAAACATTTGGCTGAAATTAACATATTAGAAGGACCACACACCCCCAATCTTTTCTAATTTTTTAAGGCAAAATTTAAGTTGACTTATAGAGCATAATTTACTTTATGTGAAACCTATATTGGTTTTAGCACTCTCTACTCTTTCATTAAAATTTTAATGATTGTATAATTCACTGGAGGACAGTTTACTGTTCACAGGTATTCTGGAATGAGAAAATATTGTGTCCTCCCACTGACAACTGGTCCCTTCCTTCTGCTGAGTGAAACCCCCACCCCGATGCCCCGCCAGAACAAACAGGAGTCTGTGTTCTTTTTTTCACAATCATTTAGCACGAAACACGCACCAGATATGTTCTTAGCTTTGCATTTTTTTTATAAGCTGTCTTTTACTTAGGGTAATTTTAGTGTCACTTTCTTGATTCAATTGGTTGGGATTTTTGAGGGAAGCCTTAGTATGTGGCTTCATTTTTGTCTTTCTGCCTCTGTCCGTTTTTATTGCTATTTTTATTTATTTTACATACCAAGCACAGTTTTCCCTTCCTGCTCTCCTCCTGTTCCCTTACCCCGATTCCTTTCTATATCTCCCCCATCCACTCCTCAGAAAGGGTAAAGCCTCCCACAGGAGCCAACAAAGCATGTCTGCCTGTGTTTTGGGGTTCTGAAAGTTGGTATTAGAGGTATGTGCCATCATGACCAACAAAACTCATTCTTGTTCATTCTCTCTCTCTTCCTCTCTCTCTCTCTCTCTCTCTCTCTCTTTCTCTCTCTCTCTCTCTCTCTCTCTCTCTCTCTCCTCTCTGCCTACAACTTGCTAATCAGATGTGAGCTCTCAGCTACTTCTCTAGCACTATTCCTGCCTGTCAGCTGTCACAGTCTAACTCTCTAAACCTGAAAGCAAGCCCCCAATTAAATGCCTTATTTATTTTTATTTATTTATGTTGGTTTTGTTCTTGTTTTGTTGTTGGATATTGTTTTGTTCTGTTTTTGACATAACTTTGACTGTACTAGAACTAATGATGTAGAGGAGGCTGGTCTCAAACTCACAGAGATTCCCCTGACTCTTCTTCCCAAGTACTGGAGTCTTTGATGTGCTTCCATGCCTGACCTAGCTTCATTTATAAATTGCCTTGGTCCTGGTGTCTCCTTATAGCAACAGAATAACAACTAAGATAAGGTAGTATGTCACCCTTGAGAGACAATAAATAGGCATCCATGGATCTACACTTCTCTAGAAATACACCCCCCAAAATGTTTAATTAGGAACATAGAATTTTCTAGCTTGATGTAATCGAGTTAAACATTTTCTAAAAACACATTTTATAAGATTAAGTTTTGAACCCTGTAATTTCATCCAAATTTTGTCATCATTTTTAAGACTAGCCCTCTAAAATTCAAGCATAATTTTATAGCAAAGTCCATTTTACACATGCTACAAAGAAGTACAATAACATTTACCCAGTCAATAAAATTAATAAACTGAAATAAGATAATAGGCATAGGGTACACACATAGACAGCCCTTCATTTGTGAGCTCATAACTTTCAAATTGGGTGGAACACCATGTTCCACAGCATCTTTTTAGTGACTACATAATTTCTCTAAAGAAAAAATAATTCTAAGAATAATAGTAATGGCTAAAATTAATTTGATGACTCTGTCAATTGTCCCTGATGCTTACAGAGATTATCTCATTTAAATTTCAGCAGCAAAATTGGCATTTTATATGGAAAAACCTAAGGTTTAGAGGGGAATTAATTTTAACAAGGCCACAGGGTAAATGACATCATGAATATTCCTAAAAGAAATGCCTTCCTCGTAGCATGACATATTTTCTCACTTGCTCATCCATCAACTCATACCCATCCATCCATTTATCTGATGATGCACACATACTTGTTTAGGCAAAAGTCTGTCCCCTAGTTAGATACTTTGAATACTTCTCTATCACTGGATCGACAACAAAATATGTAAAATTTACTTTAGTTATAGCCTTTGCCATAAATCTGGGTGTTATTTTAAAAAATAGTACATTAATTAATTTTCTCCACCAGATAGGTACCATTTTGGGTATATTCAAATGTACCCAGTGTGTATAACTAAGAATTTCTGCACTGACTTTTCTGCTTTTATGATTTTTCCTCTGAGGGAAAAAAACTGATAGAAGTCACACAAAATACTTCAAAGCTACTAATATTATAGGAGAGGAAAAAATATGCCAGACAGCCTTACAAGAGAATCTCCACAAATGCAATTTCAGAGCTAACTGGATTATGTATTTGAGCCCACGATTAATGTCAAAGTGAGAATAACAGAGAATCCATTTCCCTCTGCACAAGTTTGTCAAACAGCTTGAGGGCCTTTCTGAGAGAGGACCAATGCCATCTTCATTATGACCATGTCAACCTTTCCCTCCTTACAGGGCATTTATCATCTTGCTCAAGCTTGTTTGCTCAGTAGCCCTTGTAGAAGCAACATAATTGCTTCAGCAGACAGAAAATCATGAAGCAGACAGCAGGTTCAAAGCCATCCTGAGGGTTTTCTTTCTCAGAAAACAAACCATAATTCTGCAAGCGTGTTTCTCATCACATACCCGAAAAGTGCCAGCAGGAGGGCTGTGGCCACCAAATTCTCCCGGAAAGTGAAAGCTGTTAACTGGAAGGCAACTATAATGGCAACACACAGGCAGACAGAAACCAAGTAAAAGAGCTGAAAAGACAAAGGAGAACACACTGAATTAGATAGGGATATTAATTATTCTCTATTTATTCTGTAGTTTCCATTCAAGTTCTACTTAAACCTAGCTCCTGCTTTGCATATCAGAATATTTTTAGAGTTTACAATGCTGAGTCATTGTTATAGTCTTAGTTGTTCCTCTAAAATTGTTGTGCTGAACACTCAGAATTTCAGAACGTGACTACATTTGAAGTCACTGTGTAGTGGCATCTTGTTGTGCCAATAGATTTGAGGTACTGGCCTTAGGGCATTAGCCCCTGTCTTCATTAGGTTCTATGTTACTTTAGGGGAAAACAGATTCAATAATCTACTGGAGTCACCTATGCCTATCTCCCTTGGGAAGGGTCAAAGAACCCAGATACTGTCCCCAAAACAAGGCCACCTCACACACACACACACACACACACACACACACACACACACACACAGGAAGGAGAGGCTATTCCCTGTTCTGATTTCCTTCAAGGACTCTGCACAGGCAACAGAATTCCCAGGCTTTCCTCTGACACTCCTAAACTTAGCTATTTCTTCTCTGGGGTCATTGACTGCAACATGTTTCCTCAGAACCACCCATGCAACTGAGGTCCTTTTTCTCCTCAGATCTTTGCTGAAAAGTAATTTATTACTCTAACTTCCTAGATTAAAGTTACATTTACACCACTACCCTCTTTCATTCTTGCAAAAGATTCAGTCATGAATCAATTATATCTGGTATATTTGCAGTCTTCTTCCCAATGAGACTGGAAACTCTGTTGGGGTGAAACCTACTCTAACATTCAGTCCATTGAGTGAATGAATCCAAAACAGATAGGCTGGTTGGATTACAGACAACAGGGATCTGTTGCTCAAAGCTCTTGAAGCTGAGAAATCTTAAGACCAGTACAGTAATAGATTTAGCATAGGGAGAGGAATTTAGAAGAGGCACAGTTTTGCTGTCTTGCTACACGGCAGAAAGGATAAGAACACTCTGCACAGTCCTTTTTACAATGGTACTAATGAATTCATGAAGGCTAAATCCTCTTGATCTAATAATTTCTCCAAAGATTCCACTTCCTAATATTGTCACACTGGGGAATAAATCTGAACAATGAGTGTTGGGGGTTACTACAGTTCAGTCCTCACCTTGCACTCATCCTGACCCAAAACAGATCCTCAAAAATATCCATTGATTGAGTCATTGAATAGAATAAATATAAAATTATTGAGTAAAAGTAGAAGAGTCAGCTAATAATGAAATAGTTCTACCTGCCTTTAAACCTCAGGTACACACATCACAGAGTGAAGAACTCATTCAGAGTTGGGGATAAAAAGCTAATAAAGGGAGCACAGAGAAGAGGGGAAATTCCAGGGTCTTTATAAGGTTTGATTTTTCTGTGGTGCCTTGGGTGTATGGCTCTTTCTGCTAACCTTCACTTTCTCTGGCAACTGTTGGGGAGCACAGAAGCTTGAAACTGTAGTACTAGAGACAGGATTGAGTGGAAGGTACTTAAGTGTGGTTCTATGCAAACAGAAGCGACATTCTGGAGGAGACACTGGATCTCCAGCACTTCTCAGACTTGGAATTTATGACTCATCCTTGGTGTCAGCTGGCAGACTTGCAACAGACTCCTAAAATGCCAAGGTAGTTCAGGTGTGACTCAGATAAACTATGTTTTAAAACATCTAGATTATAGGAGCAAAAGCAAATAAATCATTTGTGCTCTAAGCCCATTCAAAGGGGTAAACATTGCTTAAGAGCAACTTACTAACACATCAGTTCTGTATAAAGCAGAACGCAGATGGTCAGAACCTGATGAGTGGGAGGCTCTCTGTGACTTTCAGTCCTGCCCTGCCTTCTGCTCACATAGGATTTTCTACATCATGGAGTGAATCATACCCATAGAGCATAAAACACATAACATTGCATTTGTGCAAAAATGAAATCTCTACTCCACATTGATGATATGAGTAGTAGTCATGCAAGAGCACTGTATCAGATGGCACGTGTTGAAAATATCTGGCCTAATCTCTATGTAGCAACTCAACAAGGACTTGCTACTATCCCTGAAAGAACAATAAACAGAGTCTAGAGATATCCACATCACAGGAAATTCTGATGCCTGCCACCTCTCCAGGGAGGTACTCATACTGGGGGCAATGGTTAGGGATACAGCTAAGAGATCATTTCTAATATTTTTATTATCTCACTTATAGCTCTTTGAAAGAGAATAGTGAGAGCTGTTGTTTACTCATTCCCTCACTAAAAAAGAAACTATTTGGTAGGGTCCTTTATTTCAGAGATCTCTAGCCCCAATTCCTGAGTCTTCCCTTCATGAAACAATCTTGAATGGTTGATGATGCCTGGTAAAGGGAACCTGATGGGATGCACTCAGCCAACAGAATGAGAGCTTCAGTTGTGGACTGCCTCATGTTGCTTGGGTCATTCCACCTCCATATTCATATAAGAACCATACTCCCAAATCCTACCATGTCATATAAGAAGTTAATTAGCCAATATGTCCTGTAGCCAAGGCCACTTATATGCTGCAGCCTTTTAGCTCCAGTCACCCTGTCCCTCACGACAGAGCTACCAATCGATGCCGACAAGATGGAGAATCCCAGGACAATGCAGAGGGCGACACCACATTGGCGGATGCTCTCCAGGCTGTGAACAAAGGATAACAGATGTCATCAGACATCGCAGAAGAAGCCAGACCTTGCTTGTATGATTAAAACTTAGGAAGAAGGAGAGCCCGACACAGTGCCAAAAGTGTATGGATTCTCTCTCCCTCTTTCAGTCCCCTCAAGTGCTTTTGAAGATGTGGGCTATTGTTGAGAGCTAACACAATGCAGAACAGAGAATGGGATAGAGAAATATGAAGCTGAAGAGCATTTCAGCATCTTCCTATCTTAGTCTACTCTACTCTTGACCACAAAGTCTGACTCTCAGCTAAATGGTCAACATACCCAGAGTGATATCCAGATGTTATGGTCCTTTCATATTCTGCAATTACTTGCTGTGCAGCAGAACTAAAAGGAAGGGACAATTGTAGGGCTGACTGGCTCATGCCAAAACTTAGGTGCTAGGAATACTAAATGCTTTCTAAATGACCACATATCATCATCATGGCACACGCACTCTCTCAGACAAGTGTCGAGTCAAGAACTGCCACTGTCCATTCTGTCCATCTCTAGAAACAGATGGGCACAGACAGTCCTTTAGGTACCCAGCACAATGAACAGTGACCACATACCACCTACTAGGCTATTCCTTCCTTATATATATATCACACGCTGTGTTATGACAGTCATCAGGTAAGCCATCATAGCCCTGTGGTTAAGTGTCTAGGAGGCAGGATTTTGAAACGCTATAGGTAAGAAGGCAAACTGCCACCCACCTTTATTGTTACATTGCTTATTTAAGGACAGAGTCCCCATCAAGATATATATTCTCTACTTGGCAAGGCAAAAGTATAGATAATACTTTTATCATTTTTTAACAAAAGGATTATTAGCTATATGGAAAAGAAGGAAGTAGGAGAGAGGATGAGGACAGAAGCAGTGTACTTAGTGTCACGATGTTGACACCTGACACTCAATTCTGTAACCAAACACACCTGCAGCAACACTTGCGCACTTCTTATGGATTGTGAGGTTTGTTTTTTCTTTTTTTGGTTTTTGTTTTTTGAATCATGCATGAGAAATAATCAGGGAGGTTTTGCATGTTTGCCAATGTGGATAGTATGTTTAGGTTATTGATCCGATAGTCTTCCTGAAATGTGTGCTGTCCATAGGCTACAGGAACTCTTCATTAGACAATTTTATCGCTGAAAAATGTTCTCACCCATTTCCTGCCCAGCCATTGCCCTTTCCCCTTTAAAGCTACAGGGCCTGTGTCTCCCCTAAAAAATGTTTAATAGGGATTAAAAGCACTCCTCAGAAACTCAGAGGTTTTTTTTTGGTCTATGCCCTCCCCCTAGCATTCTGTCAACTCACATCTTGTCTTCATTCAGCAGGGCCCCTCCATATGGGTGGCTGTACAGTGTTATTCCTGTGAACAACAAATTGAGATGTGAGCATCATGCCCTGTCCTCTGGGGAGTCATCTCCAATAGTCCACCCATCCCAAGTCCATTATCAGTAACAAAGGGCAAATGTGTCCTTGACATTAAACCGGTGTATACTTGGCTTTTTGTTCTTACCGCTTTTGTCAGACACAACCATCATGCATTTCACATGTGTCACATCAGGTAAGAGTGCTGTGCCAGGAACCAACATGAAGAAATCACCACCATGTCATCAAATAATAAGATCTTACTATAAAGCTCTTCAGAATATCATATAGCATGACACCCTTCCTGTAATGAATACCAACTGATGCTATATCAAAGAATCCAATGCTTTAGCAAACAATCTGTGCTTTATGCTAAAGTACTGTGAACTGTGAGTCTTTGGATTTTCTTCTTTACACTGGTCATTTTGAATACTTAGAGGAATATACCAGCACTCCCCAAGTGTATTGGTTGGTTTTTATTGTCAACTTATACAAAGGGGAACTATCTGGGAAGAGCAAACCTCAGCTGAGGAACTGCTTAGATCAAATTGTCCAGTTTAGTAATTTAGTGTAGTGAGGTCTAGTCCACTAGGTACATCCCTAGTGGGGTAGATCTGGGCTGACCAAGATAGTATGAGCCAGTGAGAGACCCAGAAAGCCATTAAACAGTATTCTTCAATGGTTTGTGCTTAAGCTCCTTCCCTAGATGCCCTCACTGATGGCTATTTTTATCTAGAGCTATAAATCAAATAAACTTTTTCCTCCCCTTGAGTTGTTTTTGTTCAGTGTTTATCACAGCAAGAGAAGGCAAACTAGAACCTCCAAATAAATGGGTGTTTCTCCTCATATGTTTGACCAGAAGCATCTTCTGGGCCCTCTGCAACCCATCTCCTCATGTTGCTTGCCTCTTGGCCCTCATATAGTTGGATATATTTAGCCCACACCCAGTTCCCTACAACCTGCAGGTTTGTGATCTTCAAAACAAAACCCATTATTAGTCCATAGGCGTCCTCCCTTCAGGATTCCCGTTATCCAAGTCACCCAGACTCAAAAGTGGGTCCCATCCTCTCCCCTTTTCTCTGTCACGTGTTCAAATTTCCCAGTTCTGTTGCTTCCACTTTGCCCCCTGCCCCCCCCCCCAAGAGTCACAGTGTTCATGTGCACAAGTGCCTTGTCTTGGTGGCCCTGAACTCACTCCATCTCCAAGCCTTCCCCTCCCCAAGCTCAGCATGTATGCCAGCCCCAATAGGCTACAGAGTACTTTTCTAAAAGAAGGAAGAGAGAGAGGAAGGGAGGCAGGGAGGAAGAGAGGGAATGAAAGAAGGGAGGGAGGGAGGGATGGAGGGAGGGAGGGAGGGAGGGAGGGAGAAGAAAGAGTATACATGAAAGGGCGGGAGGGATCAAAAAACAGAAATAACATATCTTTTACCTCCACACAAGTTCACTTTATGATAATGAATAAAATTCTCCCAGTGATTCCATTTGGAAAATGGGATTAGTATCATTTTCGTTGACCCTGATGCATTTTATCTTTGCCTTCAACTTCCTCCTGGTCCAGGACCCATTGACATCTCATTCCATCTCACTCCTATTCAGAATTTAATTTCATTTTTTAAAAAATCATTATTACATTGTCATGCTTTAGTCAAGCAAAACCAATGAATAAAGAAGTGTATATAGACTGCTCCTGTCTTACAGTGGTTTTACATATGAATTTTCAAAGTAAAATACACTTTGTGGAAATTACGCTTCAAAATTCAATTTTAATCTTTCCCTGGCCACAGGTGTCTGGTACCATTCTCTGGTCATTCTGGGCAGCTGGCACACTGAGAAGCAAACCCTAGCTACCCACACTATCCATCCTCTATAACTCTGATCTTTAGTCTGTTATCTGCTTTATATGAATTTCTCACTCATCACATTTTCAACTTATTGTGAGTTTACCAGTGTGGGAGTTTAATAACTCCATCCTTAAATCAAGCTGAGTCTATGTTGCAAATACACAGTGTCATTTTTAACATACAAATACATGGTGAAATGATTAGATTACTAGTCAGGCTAATTAACCTAACCATCATTTCTTAAAAGCTGCTGATGAGACTGTAAATTAGTGCAACCATTATGAGACACAGCATAGAGGATGTACTTCAAAAACTGAAACCAGAAATACTGTAAGATATAGCACCCCCACTAAAGGGCTGATGGAGTCTTAGTCAAGGAAAAAAATCATTATATTGATAAGATCTCTGCACAACATATTCACTGCCACCTCAGTGGCCACAGTAAATCTACAACCAGTGTCCATAGGAAGATGAACAGATGCAGAAAATATGTTGTTTGTGGATATAGATACAGGCATTTAAAAATATATACTCTGTGTGTATGTGTGTGTGTGTATACATTTTTTTTTTGGTTTTGATTTGTTTGTTTTGTTTTTTCAAGATAGGTGTTCTCTTTGTAATAGCCCTAGTTGTCCTGGAACTCTCTGCAGACGAGACTGGCCTTGAACTCAGAGAGATGTGCCTGCCCCTGCCTCCCAAGTGTTGGAGTTAAAAGCATTCACCAACATGCCAAGTTTGCCAAGTTGGTTCAACCATTTTTAAAAGAAATAAAAATCTTAGGTTTTTTTTCAAAATAGATTCCTGCAATGGATACATAAATAAACCAAAAGCATAAAATAAATACCACATGATCATGCTTAGATGTGGAATTTCTAAAAGTGAAACTCCTGAAAGCTGAGTGTGGAAATGACTGGAATGGGGAGATGTTAACTGAGAGGGCACAAGAAAAATTTGTTCTATGGACAGACATACAAGCATGGTGACCAGAGGTGATAACAGTGTACTGATTATTTTTGAGTAGATCTTTAAGCATTCTTATCACACACACACACACACACACACACACACACACACACACACATGAAGAAGTGAATTAAATGGACAGGAATGACAAATGAATAGAAAGAAAAGAAATGACAGTCCTTGGATCCTGAGTCCTTACCTACCTGTGAGCAGTGATAAGCAGCTGGTACCCAAAAGGATACCATAGTCACTCCTCATCCATGTCTCACAGATACAGGAAAAAAAATTCTGCATCTGTACTAAACATGCACAGACATTTACCTTTCCATTATTCCCTAGACAGTATAGCATGAAAACTATTTGATAGCTTTTTATTTTGTTATGCATTTTAGTCATGTGGAGAGTATGTAAATTGTGTGACAGAATAATTCTAAGTTAGAGGTCTGTATTGCACCACTGCCGTTTGAAATAAAAGATTTGAGCATCTGTGGATCCAGGCATCTATCAAGGTTCCTGACACTAATCCTGGCAGATAGCATAAGCTGTGGTCATGTGCTATGTGCTTTGAATGTATGTATATATTTGAGAGAAATTCTGGTACACCAACATCATTATGGCCATTTGAGAAGGGACACCTGAAACACAGGTGCCTTCTTGAATTCCACAACTAGCTGTGGCATACTGTACTTCCAGCTAGCAGCTGCAGATACCACAACCCCCTTTCTTGCCAGCACAAAGACCATATTCATCCAGTAGGAAGAAGACAGGCTAGAAGCCAAGAGCTTCTGCTTGGCACATGCTGCAGAAAAGCTGTAAATGTTCCCATAGATGGTGCAGTTGGTGAAATTCTAAACTACCAATGATGGGATCCATGTTTGACCAGCTTTCATAAATATCTATGATACCTAAACCATCAGAATTGCTATGGAGAGTTTTAAAATGGAGCTCTAGTCATTGCATTCTGTTACCTCATTTCTCGGGTATGAATGCATTGTCCTTATTTGTGGTATATTTTCTGGATTGGTGTTATTTTTAGAGCTCTATCTAGGAGGCGAGGGCAATCTGCTCTCCCATCTCACTGGTGAAATGACTGATGGCTTCCACAATTAGTAATCCTCAGTGTGCCTGGTTGTATTCTAAAAATTTTCATACCGCGCCTTCTCATTTGGAACTCAGATGATGCAAACTTTACATTAGAAGACCAATGTAAGGCAAACATTTCTTTGTAAGGCTGTTTCTGGAATGGTGGATTCTTAGAGGAGATAGGAACTTGAAGGAATGATGTAACCCTAACATACCTGGTATTTCAGCCTAGCCATAAGGGTTCCATTTTCCTGAAAGCCTCAGAGCTTGGGTCTATGGTAATCTCAACCTAACTCCTACCGAGGTACAAGAGCACTGAAAATTTGGCATTTGTGCAACAATCATGGTGGACAGTAGAGTTCTTAACAACATATATAGACCATCAAACATTCACAAGACTGCAGAAGTTCAGCTGATACATAGAGGGAGCTCCAAAAGAGCCCCCAACCCTCCACATCCAGCAGGTTCCATATTTCCTTTCCCTCCCTCCTTTGCATTGGGATATAAACCTCCCTAGGTGCTGCCTCCTCCTAGACTTTAAAAGTATGTCAATGAACAGGCCACAGATCACAGCTGGAACTGGGACCCTCTCTTCCTTCCAAAGGATTTCACTGGAATAACTCCAAGAGACACAACTTTTCATTTGATAACTGACTTTAGAGTACTACAGTTGATATATTTTACAGAGTTAAGTATTTCAGTGAAATAATATTAAAAAGTTCACATCCTCCATATGGTTTTACAGGACATCTTAATATTCCTGGAAAGTAAGACCTAGACTGTGCTCATGGCAACAAAAGCCCATGGCATTTGTAATACTACTCACAATTCAAAATCTAGGGGATGGGAAATATGGATGCCTTCACCAGGAATACATGAAGATTTGTAAGGAGACACTAGCTTCTCCAGGTCTAATTACTACACAATGTATAGATGACATGTACTGAAGCATCACATGGCACCCCATAAAAAAAGCATAGTATACTTTCATGTATCCATTTTTAAAGTAATTCTATTTCATCTTAGTAAACAAATGCAGGCTATCATTTTCCTTCCATCTCACATTATAGCCATCCCTAGGCATTCACCAAAGAAATTCTCTTTAAAAATG